TGCCCGCCTCTACTACATATATCGCCCAGAAATACAGCAGGGCCTTCGCAGGTTATTTCAGGAAGGGGCCAGAGTGCACATCATGTCCCTTAAAGGTGAGAAGTGAGAAGTGGGGACCAGGCATGTGGTTGGTTGTAGGAGGGACACCGTGGGAGACACCAGCAGAGGCGATTGTCCCAGGGAAGCCTGTCCAGGCCTGAGCCAGCCTAGACCCCCATTGACACCCAGGAGACCTTGTCTTGGCAGGGGATGGTCCAAAGGGGAAGAGGGTAGAGGCCTACTGGGCCCTGACTACTGTCTCCTTTCTTTGGTCTTAGAATTTAAATACTGTTGGGCCAAGTTGGTGTACAATTTGGGAATGCCATTCATGCCTTGGTACCAATTCAATGAAAATTATCAATTACTGGTTACCCAGCTGAAGAAGATTCTCAGGTGAGAGGCTTTCTAGTACCAAATCCGCTGTCTCCCTGGCCTCTGTACTGCCCCTCAGGCCTTTCTTTGGTCCCTGACCAGACCCACTCCAGCCTGGCCCTTTTACACCCCAGGCAGTCCCTTGGTGCTCCCCCCATCTCAGGGCATCTTTCCTTGCTCTCCTGGGCTCTTCTGCCAGAGGCCCCTTTCTGCTGTTAGGCTGACCTTTGTCCCCCAGTCCTGGGGCCCCTGACCTGGCTCCTTCCCACAGGCCAGTCACAGAGCCCAGTCAGTAAACTGAAGGCAGACAGGTCTGAGTATGCATAAGGTGACACTTAGTAGCTTTGAGAAGCATCCTCTCTACAAGTTGACAAGAGAATCAGGTCCTCCTTGTCCTAGCCAACTAACACAGCCAGTGGGGGAAAGCACTTAGTACACAACACTGCTCCAGAAACGCATCTGTGGGGGCCTGCTTGCTGCTGCTGCCACTGTACCCTGAAGCCCATTTTCTCTGCAGCCTCTGAGATGACCTGCTCCAGTCCAGGATGGTCACCCACCGCTGCTGCTACCGGTGGAACTTGCCAGCACTCCGAACCCTTACCAGTGCCAA